GTACTTTCCTTTCTGTGTGTATAATAAATACATTGTCATCTGCATAGCTTAAGTTAAGAATGTGACTGTCAGTAGCGAATCACGGTTGGACTTCTAATTTTCTCAGAATATCCTCAATGTATAAGTGCTATAAATCTGTTGAGAAGACGGATCCTTGTTTGACACTCCGTTCTGTTTTTGTATATTTACGGGAATCATTATCTATCTAGTTGCACGATATTTGCTGCCAGTATACGTTCTGGATTATTCTTAATATCTTTCCAAGAAACTAGAAAGATTGCTTTCTTTCCATTTTTTTTATTTCATATTTCCCAGGAACCAGCATATTCATTTCTTCTTCATTTATTCTGTATAGATTTCGCCTAGTGTTATTAGTTTTTCCTGAATTTAAAAAAAAAAGAATTATAGTACACAGGTTACTTGATAATGAAATTAAAAGAACGTCATATTATCATTTTTATATATAATTTACACTATATGATTTTAATGTAAATTTGTATTCGAAATCAGCAGCCTATTTTTTTCTGGTGCAGTATTTGCATTTCTTCCCTTATCTTGAAGAATCCTTTATACAACACATTGCAATATAACAAATAATTTATAACTTCGAGTAAGATTTATTGTTAAGTATAGTAACTAAACAACATTCTTTTTTAATATATTAATTGAAGAGTGTTAATTTCAACTTATTTCACGTAAAATTATAGCTTTTAAAATGGGCTTACAATGAGCTTAATTCGGACCTTTATTTTATCCTTATTGTATATTTTTATTCATTCAAAATTTCACCAATGTCTTACAGCATAATTTTGGGAACTATTTTAAAAGCAGTTTTATGAGTTTCAATTCTGCAGTAAATTTTCCCCATAAGGCATCATAAATAAGTTGGATGGACCATGAACCTCATGCATTCTATTAAAATATCTTATAATATTTCAAATTTATTGCTGATCGTGTTGCGAATAAATATGAAGAAGTAAAGTAAAATTTGGAACGAGCGTTTGTTAGAATATTCTGAATAAAATGGGAATTTATGGAGAAGTGAAAAAGAAGAAAATATATACAGGGTGTTTGAAAAGAAACTTCCTATTTTATGTATGATGGACTTACCTGTCTAAATATAATTGTTACAAGACGCGATAGTTCATCATACATAAAATAGGGAGTGACTTTTCAATCACACTGTATGCAATGCGCATAGTGCTGAGATCATTTTCTTCCGGGGGGAACTGCAAATATGTGTGCGTGCGTGAGGGCGCGTGTGTGTGCGTGTACCTGTGATAGTGTGAGTGTGTGTGCTTGTGTGCATGAAAGAAACTTACATTTAGCATCAGGAAGAGAGAGTTGAAATTTCTAGGGCACATGATGGGGAAAGAGGGCTTGAAAAATATGAGACTCACAAGACAGATTAAAGGCAAAGGAGACGAAGGAAAATAACGCATAACGTATCAAGGAGGTTTGAGTAATATGATGGCAGAACAGGGTTGAGGAGAGATAATGAAAGCAAGATTTATTAAGAACTACCAAGGAATATATATATATATATATATATATATATATATATATATATATATATATATATTATAATTATTTTTTAAACAATATTATTCCCTAGCAAAAAAAATTAAAAAAATAAATAAATAAATAAAATTAAAATTTAAAAATAAAAATAATTATAATTTAAGCTATAATTCTGTATGGAGCACTGGTTTTTAAAAAATGAAAAAAACAACTAAATAACTCCGGATTATTTACCTAACGTGTTCTTTCCTCTTTATATATATATATATATATATATATATATATATATATATATATATATATATATATATATATATCAAGCACCACTTGAAACAAAATATTGTGCTGGTTTTCTGACAGCTACACCTACTTACTGCCACACATAACCGGCTACAGCGAAAAACTGAACGAAACAACATCAACTTCATCTTGGCACTTGGAATGTGTGAACTCTCCAAGATAACAATTCATCACCTGAAAGAAAAACAGTTCTGGTCGCATTGGAGCAAAAGAAGTACAACATTTATATAGCTTCACGGAGAAGTAACCATCAGTCGAATACAAGAGACGGGAAAGCCAAATAAGACATCTAACAGTGTTCCTGCTGCACATGGATACAATATATTCTCCTTTTCTGTTTGTGGACTTTTGTGCAATTCTCGAAACGGTCTGAAAAGTAATGCTAGACATAGGCATGCAGATAATTAGTTCATGGCTGTCGAAAACACATATGTCTAACTCAACCGGAGAATCCCTCATATATATATATATATATATATATATATATATATATATATATATATATTCGTGTTTGTGTGTGTGTGCTCCTGGATGAGAGTCAGCATTCAATCCAGCAAGGAAATACTGTTAAACCGAAATAATCTCCTTGGTTGTCACCTGTATACTCGGTTGCCATATCCAACATAAATCACTTCTTCCAACTTTACAAGAACGACACGACTGATTTCAGCTAAACTTTCTTCGTCTCTACACGTAAAGAGCGCAATTCTGTCCTCAATGAAGCGAACTCACTGTTTGCTTATAGAAAAAAAGCATCTCAAAAGTTTGGTTCTAGAGATTACTGGAGGTTCTGCAAGTGTGTCCTGAACAAAAGCAAATCCTCAATCACTACTCAATTCGATGTCTTGTCATCTGGAGTTGTCAAGGTTGAAGGCTCTGCTCGGAAATTATCTTCCGGCATAAAAGTTGTCTCATCTGGAGTACGTACACCTGATTTTCCCGAAGAACTGAGGCTCTTTTGTATGATATGTTCATAAACCCGTCACTTGTTTCGGACGTCTTTTTAAAATTATACTCCCATAAGTCAACTGGAGGTGACGGGATGCCAGCCATCGACCTAAAAAAATGTGCGCCCAAGCTGGCTTCAGCGCTCTACAAATTCCACAACAATTGCCTTGCTGATTTCTGCTTTCAAGTTTGTTGGAATTCCTCTGTAGTTTCTGTTTTAAGAAATCTGGAGAACATTCTGTCCTCTCTATCTCCCTATTAGTCTCTAACTGCCTATCAGCAAAGTATCCGAGACTTTAACCAAAGCTGAAGTGGTTAAGCATGATACGCCTTACGATCTAAGCTCAGACAAACAATATGGTTTTCCTTTTTTTCCCGGTCTGACGTATTACGGCTATCACTGAATGTGTATATCAAGCTCTTGATAATAAAGGAAAAGCTCGAGCTTTGGCTCTAGTTATCTCAAAGTCGTTTGACAGGGTTTGGCTGGCTGGTCTTCTACATTAGCTTAAGATCTATGGTATTACAGACCGATTATTTTATTTAATCCAATCATTATCAAATCCACGTCCGTTGACGTGAACGCTTGTGTTCCCCACGTTTATATCCTGGGTCATACGCTGTTTCTAATCTTCATCAATGATCTTCCTGATGCCATCTGTTTCAAGTAGTCTTTTATGCTAATGGCACTGCCATTTAATACTGTTTCAACAGAAAATAATTTATAAGTTAACCGTACATCTTCTCTTGAAAATGACCTCAAATCAGGGGCTATATGGGGCTGCAAATAGCTAGTAAATTTTAATGCCACCAAATATACACTGCTTTCATTTAACTACCATAGACAAACTTCACTATTCATCATTAGTATGGATGATGCTTGACTGCTAGAGAGTGACTTACTGGCGATTTCTTGGCATCAAGTTTTCAACAGACTTATAGTTGAACAACTATATTGAATCAATAGCTGCATCTTCAGCAAGGATAGTTCATTCATTGTGTGAAGCCAGAATCTTTGTATCTTCAGAGTCCATCTTTCTCGTTTACAAATCCACTATTCTTTCGTGCATTGAATACTGTTTCCATATCTGGTCTGGTTGATCTCGAGCATCTTGGCAAAATGAAAAGAGGGATCTGGAATTTAATCGATGTCGACTTGGCATCTTGACATCAGTGACTATCTCACAGACGTGATGAAGCTTTTCTCGGTCTTTTCTACAAATATTTTCATGGCAACTGGCCTGACGCAATTCCTTACATTGTGCCCTGACTTCATGAATTCACTGATACTGCTAGATTGGCACCTCTTTACTGTTGAAATAGTTAAATGTAACCGCCTTTTCCACTTCAACAGTTTCTTTTTTAGCACTTCCTGCTAGTGGAATTTACTTCTGCTCACTTGATTACCTGATAAATACTATCTTCAATTTTTCTTTTTAAATTCAACATCTATCATGATATTCCGTTGTCTTGAACCCCGTTCAACTATTACTCTTTCCTCAATCTCCCTGAAACCAGTCTTTTCTCTCACATTCACTCTCTTTAACCCCTGTATAATATTTGCACTCCTGTATTGCTGCTTGGGGTGAAATGATTAATATATATATATATATATATATATATATATATATATATATATATATATATATATATATATATATATATAGCCAATAACACAACACCTACAACAATACACACGCTTACACATATCATACACACTCTCTCCTAAGAACCAAATAACACACACACACAAACACTAAACAGAGACACATCCCCTCACCAGGTCCAATAAAACTGTCAAACTGACCAGAGAATTCAGGATAAAATGTACCCATCCAGTTCTTATCTCAAATAACAACTTAAAAGAGACTGTTTGACCAACACAAGGAATGTTAAAATATTCATGTGAAAAAGATAAAATAATAAAAAAACAAATGAAAACTACAGACAAAAGTTCATTTTCTCCAACAAAAGTATTCATTTCTGTAGTTCACTGCCAACAGCAAGCAGAAATATTTCTCCTCCCGATGATGGCCATTTCGGTCGAAACTAGTCGAGGAATCTAAATGGAATAATAATAATAAAAAAACGAAAGAATATTAGTCTACAACCCAGTGTGTCTAATGATTTTAATTTCTTATTTTTTTATTTTCTTATTGTTCAAAAAAAAAAAAAAATAAAATATATATATATATATATATATATATATATATATATATATATATATATACAGAGATAGATAGATAGATAGATAGTTAGATAGATAGATAGATAGATAGATAGATAGATAAATGACAATGAGAAAACTGTAGTTATTGCTGACGCGTTTCATCGAGTGTGGACTTTCTCAAAACAAAAAAAAGAAATGAATTTAATTAAAGAAAGTAACTAATAATAACAAAAAACATGATGTTCTTAGCAACAATATCGTAAAACTAAAAGAAAATGGTTGAATCCGCCAACACAGTTATAATGACAATATTCTCCACACGTGACAATAACTGACGTTATTTTCAGTTAACAATATGAAAATAGCGTTCTCTACATTTCTCCAATTGCAAAGAACATCCAGTTTTTGTTATTATTAATTACTTTCTTTAATTAAATTCATTTCGTTTTTTGCGTTGATAAATTCCACATTGGACGAAACGGGTCAACAATAACTCCAGTTTTCCTATTGACATTTATATTTATAAATATTGTCTTTTCTACAGGTTAACTCTGAGAAACTTTCATAGATAGATAGATAGAAAGATAGATAGATATCTATGTATAATATTTTTGTACTACGGTTGATGGGTGTCGCATTTTGTTAAATCTTTTTAAGGGCATGTAATAGATGTAAGTTTATCAATTAATAAAGACGGTGTTGCAAAAATCTCGAGAATGCCGATCACACCCTAGAAAGCGGCAACATTTTGGGGCTTTAATTATTTAAATGCAAACTAGTATTAATTTATTTCATTTAATTAAACATTGGGTCAATTCTTCAATTCTTAATTAGATATAATCTATTTTTGTATGAAAGATACCGACACAGAAATTTCATTTCACACTCATCGTTTCATTGTATACATGAAATGTAATGAAGAAACTTAAAATTCTTTGCCCTCGAGTTGTACTTCGTAGTCTGTTAGTAAATTTAAAAATATTGAACTCGATTTCCTAAAATAATGCCTACATTTTACATAAACCAGAATGAAGTATCGCAAACGAAAATGCAATTGCCAAAAGTTACACTCTATTTGACAAAACTGTAGTATTAATATATATATATATATATATATATATATATATATATATATATATATATATATATACATATACATATATTCCGATTTTACTTCAACATTCACACGCAGAAAAAAAACATATTGGATTTTAAAATTAAATACACATAAACTAGGGTTGAATAGGGACTTAGGGTTTTAAATCTTTATAAATATTTCAATAGTTAAGCAATTTTTTTTTTTTTTTTTTTATATAGTAAAAAAATTGTTTTAAATATTTATGACTGTTAGATTTAAGTTAGGAATATCCGAACAGTGACGTTGCATATCACGTGACGTCCGCGTCTCGCGAAGGACGCTACTTACTAACAAACAGTAATTTTAATTTATTTGTAACAAACAGTTATTTCTGATGAAAAATAAGGACAATTTGAAATATCAAATATATATATAAATAAATACTTTCATAAAATAAAACATTATAATTTTCAATTTGAAACTTTTTCTATATATACATATTAAGAAAGTATACGTGGCTTCTCATTATGCTATATATATATATATATATATATATATATATATATCCATTTTCAAGATTATTTGAAATTTTATTAGGAATCTGTGTGGTAACGTATAAAATGAGTTCATCTTCATTGAAAATACCTCGAATTATTAGGAATATAAGCAGTCGTAAATATGTTGGATAAATAAGTCTATCTTTCCGAGAGCTCATCACCCCACACACATGTTTCTTGACTACCTACCGAAATTATTTTCAAATGATTAATACATAAGTAATTAATATTGCAAATAAACATGCATAAATAATTTATTTTTGACGTAAATATTAACAATACATACATTTATCATTTAATGTAAAATCTATGCCATAGTAATATAGTGGAATTTCCACGAGTTTATTTAATATATATATATATATATATATATATATATATATATATATATATATATATATATATATATATTTACATTTAATTATTGCAAACGTTATTTTATGGATAACCATTTTGAAATAGACCCCTGTCTTTTTAAACAGCATATATTAAATCCTCATTACAGCCTTCGCCCTGGAGGAAAGTTAATGAAGAAAATGTCCTCTCCGACGTATTCGGGTGCGCAGGCGGGTAGATATGTGAGTAGGCTGAAATGTCCATAAGCTGACTATGAAGGAGTGATATGAAAGTAATGCAATATTGGATGCATTAATTTCAAATCTTCTTATTAATAACTACTTTGTTTGTTTCCTGGTAAACTGACATGTTCAACAGCATATATGTCTTCATAATAGTGCTCTAGTTGTTCTCTGCTGATTCATTTTTCATGTTGGAGAACAGATGATAGTTAAATCAGGAAAATAGTGTGGGTGATCAGCCATTTCAAAACCAGAATAACATACAGCAACCATAGGAAGCAAGGGCTTGTGTGATGGTGCATTAGCTCGATGAAGCATGACGTTTTTCCCCAGTTAATAAACAAAATGCCTTTTGCATCACAAAAAATGAGGCCATCAACTTCCATGTAGATGAAAGAAATGTGAGCTTATTTGGAACAGGTAAGGTAGGGTGAGTTTATTGCGTAGTTTACCGCTTTGTCACTAGCTCAAATTGATGAAACCAACACACACCTTGGGTGAGGAAATGTTCAAGGATATCAGATGGATTTGCCTCAAAGATTCATGCGTTTTATTTCGTGTATGAGACGTGGCGGCCATTGAGCAGAAACATTCATCTTGCCAGGTCAATTGCTCAAGATATTCCCAACAATATCATCTGATAGGCTAATAGCATTGGCTGTTTGATTCATAGAAAATCGCCTGTCATGAAAAATCTCGTAAACACGATCAATATTTACCTCGATGTGGATAGGTGCTGGCTATCCAGACGTTGGGTCAGTTCGAAGCCTCTTCTTATGCTTCAAAATTCAGAAGCCCACATTTACACTGTTGATAAAGCTGGGACGATGTAACAGCCATATCAATGAGGATGCTCTTTGGGACTGAATCCTTTTTCTTCAGGTACTTCATAACATCACGATCCCAAATTCTTACAATTTTCAAGAGAAGACGTTACTAGATGATAATTTAAAATTTTACTCCAAGCAAGGCAATTAAAAGAGTTTAGATGCAATGGGATTGCTACTCGTTAGAAAATAAGAGAAAACATACAAGGAAGGAGAGAGGACATAAAAGAGTAAGATAGATAATGATTTGCATTTCATTTAAATTTTTGAAGTTGAAAATTGAAAAGAAACCAAGATACCGGAATACATCCACAAGCGAGAATTACGATAGAAGAAATTATTAGCATAACAGATACGGTTACATACAAAAAATTTACTACAGTAACATGATGAGAATTTGCAGCCAATCTATTAATACGCCAAAATCCGTAAAGTCGTGGCACCATAGAAGAAAATGCACCAAAGCAGTTAAGATGAATGTATTTATATGAAAAGCTCCGGCAGCTGTGTTACAGCGGTAGGAGAGGGACTGAAGCCGAGGTGCGTGATTAGGATTCTTCTTTGGATTTTGTCAAGAATTTCTAACTAGATATCAAGATTATGAAATCAGATGTGTTAGGGATATTCAAAGAAATGATGAGTGATACGTAAAATAGAATTTGGAAATAAAAAATAAATATCTATTACGACATAGTGAACAAAATTTCCGAGTTTCAGTTTCACCAGTTGATTCAATATACATTTACAATTCATGACAAAGGAAAGCGTTATCCCTATCAGACGCAAGCAGTTACACTCGTAGAGTTTTGCAACAGCCATGGAGCTGGAAGTTAAAACATATTCTTTCAGATGATTAAAAGAAAGCAGTTTTGGAGACGTTAAAAGATACTTTGAAGTTTTCTTTGATCAGTCAGATATCAAATCATCTGAAAAGAAAAAAATATTTATTAATAAGATTGAAATTAATATATGAAAGATAGCACGGGTCGACCATCACTCTTACATAGTCACCATATGAAGTTTTTTCCTGTACACAAAAACTAAAACCTCTTGAAGCTATATACTTAAAACAGTTGAAACTTACCCTGAACAAAATAAACTAGGAAAATAAACTACTCCACAAATATTCTTAAATGCCTATAACTGATAACAGAAGCTATTGGTTTATACCAACGGCTTCCCATACTTATTACTTCTTGTTTTCACAATGGCGTATTCATGTGCGACGACACGAGCTGCGACGCAATTGTCACTTCCACGTCTCGTATACACGAGTTTGTCGTTGCTTTGAAATTTTTCATGCAACAAAAACAGACATTATTGTTTCGTCCGTGTATTGTTTGTTTTATTGAAATGTAATTGTCATCTGTGATAATGGCTTATGTAAGCCGAAAGCTTAGATTGGATTTAAACGTTGATCAACATAAGGATTTCCTTTCGTCTTTCAATGATAATGTTATTAATCTTATCAGACAATATGACAGGAACTTACTTAAAATAAATAGACAAGAGTATATTATTTCATGAAACACACACACACAGACACACATACACACACACACACACACACACATATATATATATATATATATATATATATATATATATATATATATATATATATCAGTCGATATTTATATGTTGATATATTCATCAATATATACTAAAGTATGTAATATTTTATAAATATAAAGATATGTGTCTGTGTGACACCAGAATATTGAATATTCTAAATAGCACATCATAATCTTGTCAACGGAGGTGGTTTTACAGAGAATATTTTATCATAAAACTGAATATTGACTGAAAATTAAAGATCAAAATTCAGTCAGTATTTTCGTGTCAGGATTATCTCATCTGTAACTCTTTAACGATATTTCTAAATATATTCCCAATGAAAAAATATCCGACGACCAACAAATGTCTCATCCATTTTCACGCAATCATCAGTTAGTCGCTAACTCTTTGTGACATTTTATACTACCTCGATAATGGTAAAGAGTTACAAGGGTAGTTGATGTGTATATAATGTGCAAGGTCAACGAAGCGAGGTTATAAATCCCTGGCTAAAATGGAAATACTGAAAATCATCATTACGTGGAATTAATGTAACTGATTGTTGTGATTTATTTTTGTAATTATATATACATATAAAAAATTACATTACAATTATATGAATTATATATACATATAAAAAAATACATTACAATTATATGAATTAAAGTCATTTCACTTAGGCAAAACGTTAAAAAAACATAATAGATTTGATAGCAAATTTTGAAATTAATTATAACGGAGCTTATTCGTACGAGTTTATAATTATAACTGGGCGGTTCCATGAGAATTTACAAAATCAATCGCAACTTTCAACTGAATTATTTTTTTGGCTTAAGATTTCACCCCTAAAGATGATTTTGGATGAGTGTAAAAGTACTTCCTAAAAATTAAGAAATGAAAAGACTAAGGTGACTTTCTTTTTTAATATAATATTAACATTAAGATTTTGTTCAGATTAATCAGCCAGACATGACTGAATGAAGATAGCCTCAACCTAAA